ATTTCATTGTCATCCTTCTGGAACTTATTTGTCTTCAAAGTGTTTAGTTTCAAAGGGTCCTTAACATGAGATCCAGTTCCCTGAAAAAGTCCTTCATCTTCAGGAAATTTTATGCATCCATGCAGAATTGTTTTTAAAAAATGTGACAAAACTGTTTAAAGATTTGACAGTTCTGTGCAGGCATTTATACCTGAAGTTGAATAAATATATGTGGTTTTCCACAAATATGTGATGCCAAGGCTGATTTACACCTTTTCCTAGATTTTTTGTTTTCTTCAGCAGTGGGAGCAGGGAGAACATGCATGTGTGGGTGTATTTTGGGGATTTACATTCTCAAATGGCAAAAGATAGTCATGAATGACTTTGAAAAGTAATTTCAGGATATACTTTGACCAATATTTACCTAAATGTACATTTGTTGAAGTGCTTTATAAACCGTATTCAATCCCAATGTTTTCTGAGAGACATATATGCTTTATTTTTATTTTCTATCACAGTATTTTAAAAATTGAAAGAAATAAATTTGTTTTCTCCATGGCTTTAAGAGATCCATTTCATTAAATGTCACTACTGCAATGAGAGGTGACAAAATGTTTTACAAAGAATCTCAGAACACTGATGAAAGGTTTGTTTAATATTCAAGTTTGTATTGTTACCTCTGAAGCTTAAGTAATTACCACCCCAATTTCTGGCCTAGCAAAGCCTTGGTATCCACTGGGATCATATTGAAGGGGTAGCACATTTGTAAGAATGTCATCAACCATAAGCACAAAATAAGAACTTAGGCCTCAAGAGTCATATTTTTCTATATTATTTTTATAGTATTTACTCTTTTGAGAACTTCCTTCCTCAGCTAGAGGGAGATGAATATGAATCTCTTTTGAGTGACTATATCATCTTCTGGGAATTGACATCTTACCCCCAAATTTGAATACTGAAAATATTAAACATTCTTACTTTTGAAAAACAGTTGGTACCATGATGAGATCTTATTAATGTAGCTAATAGCAGTTAATGTAGTTCATAGGCAATAATTTGATAAATTAAAATTATGGAAATTATTAGATATATTTGATAAGAACATTTGCAAACCTCAAAAGCTGAATTTTTCTGAACATTAACTGATTGCTTTCACTTAGGCTAAGCCCTGCCAAACAACTCTTGTATTACCAGTGTATAACATTAATATATCACCCACATCACATATGGCAAACAAGCAAGTATCCATGTTTGGCAAAGTAGTAGTAAATGAAACCTAGGGGGAAAATATCAGAAAATACAACATTATTAAACTTTATATGCAAGAACTTTTTTATTTTATATCAATGTCAATAATTGAATTGATTTTCTATTGCTTTATACTTGATAGAGTCACTGTGGAAAACCTACACTATACTACTGTTTCACTACTGTTAAACTTGCATTATTTATTGCTTTTAGCCTTATTTTCATCAAAGACGAGTAAAAATGGCTTTTCTTTAAGCACATAATATGCATATGTAGTATATAAAGAGTAAGCTACATTTGTAGAGACATAAGTAAAATGTGGAGAATTTATCTGGTCTTAAACTTCTATAATGATTATCTTAATTTTAAGTTTTTTTCTAAAGAGGTATAGAGAACAAGGTAGACAGATGACTAATTTTCTTGCCAGGACATCGGAGAACAGAAAATATCTTCTATACCTTAGAAAAGCTTACCTTTCGATGATTAGTGATATTCCTTTATATCTTCACAGAGAAAAAGTTTGATTTTTATAAGGATAAAAAAGCAGTACATTCAATTCAATTTGATCATTTAAAATAGGAACAACTTTAGAGGTCTTATTAGTTGTCACCTGACCTCATGTCTCTGATAAAAGCAACAGATGAACTGCATTTTAATTATTATTTGCCAATATATCATTAATTCACAATATTTATTTAATATTACTTAGATTGATCATGATATAGCTCAGAATTAAAATTGAACTGTTCTTCCAAAGAAGCCAATTGGGTATATCTTTTTAATTCAAAAAGAGAAAGATAAATACGGCCAAATTGATGCTAATTGTCTGGTGAAGAAGCAAAGCAAATTTATTCTAAATTCATTCATAAATATTAATCTAACTGTATATGCATTTGTAATGTGTAATCTATGTTAATATGTGTGTTAGCAAACAAAATCTTTATCCTCACTACTTTTTACTTGCTCATTTGTTTTTATTTTGAATTTTGAATTTTTTTGGCAGTTGTGTGATTTAGCTCAGGGCTCTCACTTGCTAGCTAGGTAGCTAGCTAGGTATTCTTAACACTGAGCTATGCCTTCCACCCATATTTTACTTTTTTTCTGAAGAAAGCACTCTCCTTAATCCATTTTCAGGACACTCCATTCTCTTATACCTTCTTCAAGAAAATTTCCCTGTACCCATTCATCTCTTGTAACCTATGTCTCTTTGTCACCTTCTGTAGGATCTGTTACCATATGTAACATTCTTCATCTTAAGAACAATACCCTTAATTTTTCTCAGTCTGCTGACCTATGTTTGTCTTTGATTTCACTGTAAAACTGTTGCTCATTTTATACTCTAGTTACCAATCTTACCTCCTTCACCTTCAATGATTCTATAAAATCACTTCTTACGATTTTTCTCCAAATCTGTGTCTCTCTTATTCAATATTTTCATAATATTACCATTCTTGGTTATCTATATTGAAGACTTAATAATTTACCAGAAATTATTCCATTAACATTTTGGTTCCCAGTCATTTTCCAGCCCAGTATAGTCAGCCTTTCACTGAATGCACAACATTCCAGTCACAAATATAGGGCCATATTTCATACAATCTCCATCTATAACAATGTGCAAACAAAGGGAGTGATGTTCTTCATATGCTTGTATATATATCATCTCTAAGTTCTTGAATGAGGTGAATAAGAAAAACTTCTATGAATGTTTGAAAAGGTAATTATTCCATCCTCATATTTTATTAATAGTGTAGCAACACACATTGTTTTGCTGTTAAGAAGTCTAATTTCTTATTCTTTGTATAGACCTTTATTCTTCCTTTTAGCCTTTGCCTTAATCCTGACATTCTACAATTTTATGAAGATGTACTTTGAATTTCTAGGAAATGAATTTCTTTAATAATTTCCTACCTTCCATGATTCCTATTTGCTCTTCCTAAAATACTTATTCAGAGTTTCAAGCCTTTCAAAAAAAGGACCTCCAATTTCTTTATACCTTCTCTTTCTACTTCTGTTTTTATTATACATCATTATCCTTTTATACTATTTTCTGGAAGATATTTTCACTTTTTTTAAAGGTATTCTTCATCTTCATCATATATATTAATGCAATTTTCTGTTACTTTAATCATCTTTCAGTTTCCAGATTTCACCTCTCTCTTCTTACCTCTACCACAGATAAAGTTTTTCATGTCAGAAGTGTCATTGAAAAGTATGTTCATTTTTAGGTCATGTCAGAAGTGTCATTGAAAAATATGTTCATTTTTAGGAATCTTTGCTGTTAGGAGAGCCTTAGTGAACAAACAGTACTACACACAAAAAGTGCTTAAAAATTGTCTTTAACACTCTTACTTTCATAGTGGCATGATTATTCCTAGATAGAATCAGGTTTAAAATTTTAAGATTATACTAAGTGTCATGTATTTCTAGAAAAAAAATACGCATTTTTATTCTATTAATGGTAATATCTAAGATGATGGTAGTAAATCATTTTGCTAAATGTAGGAAATGAAGCCAACTATGATTGCTTCCAATAGGAATGCTTGAAAAGTTTTAAAAGTTCTGTGAATTGGAATGGCAGTATTGTAATTTGTGTACATTGTAGGTAGAAGTTTTGGCAACTGCACCCCAGTACCTCTAGACTGTCACAAGGTCACTGTATGTTTTTCCATGTTGTGGATTCTCTCTCCTTGGGAAGTATAGATTTATGATTTCTCCTTAAATCAGAGAATATTCACAATCTCAAGTTCATACTTTTGAAGGATTTATTCTAGTAGGTATACAAAGCCTTCACAGGGAATCTGATCCAGTATTTAAGTGGAAATTTGACAGGAAGACTGTTTTGTTGTGAGGCTAAATTTATGGACAGGTCAGCTGACTACTTTCATGTAGTTATATTTTGTTTATTAAAAATATATGTACCAGCTGTGTTTTAAATAATGAAGGTTTAAATTACTAGAACAGCAAATAAAGATGTTTAAAATGTATGCTCACTCAATATTCCATAAGAAAAGTACAAAATAATATGCTTCCTTAATCCAAAATACTACATGATATTTATGTTCATCTGATGACCCTGACCTGATGGGACTGCCAGATTCAAAAATATGTAAATTAACACATACAGATCAGTTTATATATAGTAACACTTTCAGTTTTAGGTATTTTTGTATGTTTAAGAAGACTTCATCTGGGCTGGGATGTAGCTCAGTGGCAAAGCGCTTGCCTAGCAAGTGCAATGTCCTGGGTTCAATCCCCAGTACCAAAAAAGAAAAGACAAAAAAAAACACAGTTAAAAAGACTTCATTTGTAACTTTTTTCCTTTATAGGTTACAATCATTTGGAATGTGTGTATAACTAGAGTACTGAATTTCCCAATCAATCTGAATATAAAGATTGTATTTCCAACTTTAAATTCACAATTTTAATGAAAGATCTCTGTTAGGGACTTAAGTTTTCTACCCTAAATATTTCTGTTTTGTATACTTCTGGAAAAGTGGATTGTACAGAAAAACTTCTGTATTTGTGATCTCATGTTCAGTTTCAGTCTGAATCAAGCTTAAAATGGGAACCTACAACAAGCCATGTAGACTATTTTTAAAGCTTCATTTTTTATAAAAATAGCATTCATTATCAGATCTTGTAAAGATATTTATAAACAAAATAATCTAGAATCTATTCATAACACTGACAGGATCCTTAAACTATATTTTACGTGCTCATGTTCATTTATTTATTATTTTTCTTATATTTGCTTTGATTTTCCCTTTTAGGAATGGCAAAATTCTATTCAGAAGAATGCAGGACTTGCATTTATTGAGCTCATCAATGAAGGAAGGTAATTAATTTTGCAATTTTTAGACAACTAAGTGTGCAATTTATTCCATTGGGCAACTGCTTTTCTCTACCATCTGTCCTAAAAACATGTAATCAAGCATCTTTTAGTTAAATATTGCATCACATAGATATGCAAAGTTCAAATCAACAAACTTCAAAGCAGTAAATATTATGTATTATTTGGAGAAAAAACCATCTATGAAATAAAGAATGAAGGTTATAAGATTTTAGAGATTTGAGACCATCTTACTGAGCAGTGAAGTGATTATACACAGATCAAGTGAAGCCAGTCTACAGTCCCATCTGCTGCCCCATCTGCTTTTAGACTATGCTCAGCGTTTAGCTCCTAACTTCCCATTAGTTCACATGAGTGTGTCATGCGCTCAGTATCTAACTGGAAATGTGAAGCATGTTAAATAGAGAAATTGTAACAGGTTTGGTTAGTAATTCATAAGTAGCATTGTTACTGATGCCATGAATAAAGTTACATCTGAAACCATTTTTTGTATTTATCACTTTGGGAAAAGGAGTTATAACTATGGTTTTTGTAGTGCCCTATGAATAGTGGAGACAACTGCAAAGATGTGTCTTCTTCCATTTTTCATTTGTAGTGTCTATTAACCCAATACCTGGAACCTTTATAACTTTAATTTCCTATTTGTTATAGGGTATAATATGGAAAATAATTACTGAGCTTTAGTATTATCTATTTCTGATTTACAATCAGATTTAATGAGATTGATAAGGAAATAGTAATGTCTGTGAAATTTATCTTTTTTTCAAAGAGACTGTCGTGATATAATATTCCATGAAAAAATAGCTTATATGTTAGATGCTAATGCCTTTTTGAGATATTAATTTAAATGTCCCTCAGTGTTTTCTGTTTTCTCACATTACTGTACTGTATTCTGAGAAATAACTTCTGAATTTATGGCATATCTTCAGATTTTATATTCCTCATTTTTGTTAATAGTAGTCATACATCTATCATTTAAAATATATTATTCACTTGCTGTAACACAAAAGATTCAGGAAAACTTTTATGATATAGTATTTTGCATAATAATATTCACTCTTACAGAACCTCATTGTAATAAAAATTAGTAGAAGATATCTATATAAAGGAAATTTGAAAATACAAAATATCTCCAGTGTCATTTCAGTTTTAGAAATAGCTCTTGATTCACATATATGCTAATTTTTAATTTAAACTGTGAGTGAAAGTATAAAATGGCCATTACTATCCCTTTAAAAATTTTTTTTTGTCAGTCATGGTCTTGAACTCAGGGACTAGGTGCTCTCCTGAGCTTTATTGCTCAAGTCTAGAGTACTACCACTTTGAGCCACAGCTTCACCTCCAGTTTTCTGGTAGTTAGTTAGAGATAAGAGTCTTATAGACTTTTCTGCCTTGGCTAGCTTCAAACCATGATCCTCAGATCTCAGCCTCCTGAGTAGTAAGGATTATAGGCATGAGCCACCAATGCCCAGCATCATCACTAACCCTTTTAAGATAAGAAAATTTAATCTCTAAGCACTAAAATTAAAATTATGGATATTGCCTGTTCCTGTGGCTCATAGTTGTAATCCTAGCTATTCATGAGGCTAAGATCGGAGGATCCTGGTCCTAGTCTATGAGAGTTGAGAATCTTATCTCCAATTAATCACTAAAAAGCTAGATGCAGGGCTATGGCTTAGGTGGTAGATCAATAGCCTTTGGCAAAAAAGTCAGGGACAGTATCCATGCCCTGAGTTCAAGCCCCAGAAGTGGCAGAAAAAAAAATTATGAATATTAACGGAAAGAAGAGAGTGGTGGAAAACTTGCCAGTGCATGAGGTTTTAAGCTTTTCTACAGTTTAGTTTTCAGTTGTGTAGCTTGGGTTTGTTTTATATTAGGAAAGAAGTTGAAAATAGAGATTATTTAGAATTGTTTTTCTTTTAAATGAAATCAGAATCTCTTACCATCCTGTGCTTTGTACCACACTGTGTTTGTTTGTTTGTTTGTTTGTGTTTGACTTGTAGACAAAGACAGGTGATCCAGAATTCAATGTTCAGTATGTGTTTTATATATTTAAGAAAGAATGTGACACCTGAAAGAGTTTAAAGTGATGATAATTTGGATAGCAATAAAGGTAGGATACTAGACATTGAACATAGCAAAGTCATAGTTATACTTAAGTTTTGCAATTTTCAGATTCACTTAGTATATCAAGATCGCCATTCTTTCATGGGTTTTGCCAGTATTGGGCTTGAACTTGGATTTAACTCACTTCACATTCTCATTTAGCTTGATTGCTTAGGTCCAAGGATTTCACACTTTTCTCACTTGCAGATGAAGTCTGAAAACTTCTTTTCTGAGCTACTTTCAAACTTGTATCACCAAACCTCAGCCTCCTGAGTAGATAGGATTACAGGTGTAAGAACTTGTACTCTGCTAAAAGGCCAATTTTAAAAGGATTTTTATCTTGAGAACATGATGCCTGGAGTTGAATGTTCTGCAATATTCTACAGATCTGTAATATTCTTTAGTATAATAGTATAGGCATAGATTTGATTTTAACTCTTTCATGTTTAGAGATGATGTCAGAAGTTGAGAATCTGACAGCTTCCTCTGTTTTAGAAAATAATCCTAAAGTAAATTGTTGAACAATTTAGAATCCAAAGATTTAATGAAGAAAATTTTGAAATGGTCATCATCATGTCCCTCATTCAAATAGAGATAAAAAGAAGCCCCATTAATGAAATATAGCATGTATCTCTTGAAAAGAAACATGACTCAGGCTTTAGAGGAACTAAGATGAGCTTGAACGATCAGAACATGTGACATGCCGGGCACTGGAAGCTCACGCCTGTAATCCTAGCTCCTCAGGAGTCTGAGATCTGAGGATTGCAGCTTAAACCCAGCCTGGGCAGGAAAGCCCATGAGACTCTTATCTCCAATAAACCACTAGAAAACCACAAGTGGTCTGTGGCCCCAGTGGTAGTGCACTAGCCTTGAGCTGAAGAGCACAGGGAAAGCTCCCAAGCCCAGAGTTCAAGCCCCACGACCGACAAAAAAAAAAGGGGACATTTCTTCAATTAAAGAATGTTTCCACTCTCATAGTAACTGTTAAAAATAATTTGAGAATAAAAACAAAACTATCATAGCTATCAGTTTTTCAGAACAAATTCTAAGACTCATGATAAACAGCTGCTCAGCACCTACTGTGTAATTAACAATAAGAGAAAAGATTAGAGACATGAACAAGGAAGACATTCTTCTAAATTGGGGGTTGGGAGGAGCAAATAATAGCCATCACGTACAATAATACAACATGGTATGTTAAAGATAGTGAAGATATTGAAGTTCACCAGGTGGCAGAGTTTTTAGGGTTTTTCAAAGTGTGCCTGTGTTAAGGGAATGCCCCCCTTGATGAGTCCTAAGGCAAGAGTAGGATATAGTGAAGAAAGAACATAGAAGAGTGGGGGGTGGGGATTAAATTCTAGGCAGTAGTATAGTTCAAAGATGAGGTATTTTCACTCAGCCAAACAGCTTCATAAGAAAAGGTCACATAGATCATGCTGCGAAAGGGTTAGTAAGCTCTGCTGGGGGTCTATGGGTACTATGGGGTTTGAGGTCCACCTCCAGTGTGAGGGGTAGATTAAAGGACTAAAGGTTGGGACAGCAAGACTGTTGAAGAAGATAGCGTCAGGACAAGAAGTGGTCACAGGAATGGGGATTATATAAACAAAGCTGACCAAGATTTAGAGTGTAGCCATAAAATACTGTAGTACTTTTCCACTTTTGCTTAAGGTTCAGAATAACACATATAACATTTATGACAGCTATTGGCACTTAAAAAGGAAAGAATGTTTATATAAAATAATAAATGTTATACAAAATACATATTGAGGGTTTCTCTGACTCTATTTTTATTTAGGTCATTACTTAAATTTAGTAAATTCAAACCAACAATGTGGTACATGTGTGTAATGCCAGCTTCTTGGGAGCTAGAGAACAGGAGGATCACAGTTGAAGCCCAACTTAGGGAAAAAGGTAGCAAAATCTCATCTCACTAAACAAGCCAGGCATTGTTCATGCATCCAGATAGGAAGTAGGTGTAAGTAAATATGATCACAGTTCAAGACTGTCATTCTTTGGGCTTCATGGAGAACCAGGACATGTGAGATATAAAACATGAAAACGTGTTTAAAAGATATTCTGTAAAGCCCAGATAAAAAGTATGATATGTTATCCAGAAAATAACAAAAGAAAAAAAGACCAAAGGTATGGCTCAGCAATCGAGTGCTTGCCTAACAGCAATGATTCCTGAGTTTAAACTCAGAATGATCTATCTCACACACACACAAACACAAACCGTAAAGACACACAAGAAACTGAATTTTGCTGAAAAGACATATAGTTACTCACAGTAAAAACACGTGACTCTTATGTGGGTGCTTGTTAGGCCTACTATTTTCAAGTTAGATATTTTATACATGCTTTGATCTCATTTGCATGGACAGATAGGATTTTTTTAACCTTTTCAGTTTAAAATAACTTTTTTTAAACTCACTTTCCGTTGGTTGTTAGAACATCAGTCTTTAATTTGTCCTTGTGGGAATGAAGATAAAAATCTTTAAGTGGAAATTGTTATAAATGTTTATCCTACTTAACAGCTACACTGGAGAATACAATTCATCAATCATAGCTGGAGAAAGCAATTGTGCAGTTGTCTACAATTAACAGAACAAAAACAGTTGATGAATGTGCAGCTGAATTAAAGTACTCCCCAGGACAGGCTGAAATTATAAACGGGATCATTTAAAGGAATCTAACAAAGGATCTTTATAATTAAAACAAAGCAAGGTTAATGAGATGTAAAATTGCCTATAATATCTTGGCAATAATAATTGGACTTTAAATTATTAAAATATGAAATGAAGAATAAGGGAATAAGAAAGACTTTTTAAAGTATGGTATGTGACTATAATCTTTGGTAATAAATTAATCATTTGAGTAAA